AATTTCGAGGGCAGACATTGACCGCAGGGATACCACCCTAGAATGTCAGGGCATCGCTATCCGGTCAGGCGATGTCGAGCTCGAAATATTTAACATATACATACCCCCTGTAACCTGCTGCCCGGCAGGATATCACCCTGATATAGGTGCGCTCCTCAGAGGTGAAAACCGTATGGTAGTAGGTGACTTTAATGCGCACCACGATCTTTGGCACTCAAGCCTGTCAAACGATCGTAGGGGAACAGACTTGGCTGAGCAGATAGACGATTCGACATTCTGCACAATGAACGACGACGCACCCACCAGGATTATGGGTAACTGCAGTAGCTCGCCAGACATCACAATAGTCAGCGCTGGTCTGATAAACAGCATAACGTGGCGACCTATGCTGACTTTAGCATCAGACCATCTACCCATAGTCATCTCGATTGATAAACCAACCGACTTTGCCTCCGCCAAACACCGGACCTATATCAACTTTTCCAAAGCTGATTGGAAAGGTTACGCGGAGTTTACTGAAAACACCTTCGCAGCGCTCCCCACACCAACCGACGTCCATCTCGGTGAACGTAAGTTCCGCAGGGCTATCACTGCTGCTGCAGCTCGCTTCATACCGGCAGGACGTATATCGGACCCACGTCCAAACTTCCCTGCCGAAGCGGCTGTTCTAGCTGATGAGCGTGATAGCCTTCGTCAGGCCGATCCCGGAGATCCCCGTATCAGGGATCTCAACGCGGAGATTCGGCAACTTGTAAACGTACATAAGCGGAAGAAGTGGGAGGAGCACCTGAAGACTTGTAATTTCACCTCTGGTGTGAGCAAGCTTTGGTCAACCGTGAGGTCATTGTCTAATCCGACGAAGCACGACGACAGAGTCGAAATTTCCTTCGGCGACCATGCTTCGTCGGACCCGGAGCGATGCGCGAGCTATTTTAGCCGGCAGTTCATACTGCATCCTCCGGCAGACAAAGCCAAGTGTCGAGTGACCAGAAGGCTGCACAAACTGCCAACAAATTGTTCCCCCCTTGCTTTCACTTGCGGTGAAGTTCAGGTGGCCATCGGGAAGGCGAAAGCCTCCAAAGCCATGGGTCCCGACGGAATATGCATGCTGATGCTGAAAAATTTGGGTCCTGCGGGGGTAGCGTAGCTAACGGAGGTCCTCAACCTGTCAATGGCCACTCTCATCATCCCAGACATCTGGAAGGTGGGGAGAGTGGTCCCACTGCTCAAACCGGGGAAACCCGCCAACAAAGGAGATTCGTATCGTCCGATTACACTCCTTTCCCCGGTAGCGAAAACACTCGAGGCCTTGCTACTCCCGTACTTCACAAACCACCTGACCCCAGCGAAGCATCAGCATGGTTTCCGTAAAGTGCACAGTACAACAACAGCACTTAACGCCATAAACACTCAGATAACTCGTGGCCTTAACCGCAACCGTCCCTGTGAGAGAACGATTCTAGTAGCGTTGGACTTGTCAAAGGCGTTTGACACCGTCTGCCATTCCACGCTGCTAGAAGATATAGAGGCCTCCTCTCTCCCACAGAGGCTCAAACGTTGGTCGGCAAATTATCTGAGTGGTCGACATTCGTCGGTAACATTTAGAGACAAAACGAGTAAGCAGCGAAAAATAAAACAGGGGGTTCCTCAGGGTGGTGTCCTTTCCCCGCTACTGTTTAACTTTTATATTTCAAAGCTCCCTCAACCACCAGAGGGAGTCTCGATTGTCTCCTATGCCGACGACTGCTCGATCATGGCGACTGGGAATGGAATTGATGACCTGTGTTTGAAAGTAAACGGCTATCTCTCCGAACTTTCTCGCTTCTTCACTGCAATGTGTCTAGCCCTCTCCCCTACGAAATCCTCCGCGACCCTGTTCACAACCTGGACGAAGGAGGTCAGGCTACCGCTGGGGATTCACGTCGATGACACACCAATTCCGACGGTGAATAACCCCAAAATACTCGGAGTAACATTCGACAGCCTGCTCTCCTTCTCTGCGCACTCAACCGCTATTGTCAATAAAGTACAGAGCCGCAACAAGGTCCTCAAGTCGCTAGCCGGCAGTACTTGGGGCAAAGACAAAGAAACGTTGCTGGCAACATACAAGGCAATAGGCCGGCCGGTTTTGAACTACGCAGCGCCAGTGTGGTCGCCAGGGACTAGTAGGACGCAGTGGACGAAGCTACAGACGGTACAAAATACGGCACTTAGGACAGCGACGGGATGCCTCCTGATGTCGCCTGAACACCACTTGCACGGCGAGGCGCAAATGCTCCCAGTTAAGGAGCATAACATAATGCTCTGCAAGCAGTTCCTGATCGGGAGCCACAGAAGTGGCCACCCAAACAGACAGCTGCTTGCAGAGGAGCCCTCGCCTAGGCACGTCAGGAGGCATCTATATGAACTGACGGACGAAGTCCAGAGGTTCATTAAGCAACCTCTGGACCCGACAGCGTACAGACAGGCCCTGAACGGCATTCACGGGGACTCAGTCTCGAGTTATGTAGACTCTAGACCTGTGAATGCCGTTCTAGGCATATCACCCCCGGACATTGACGAGACAGAGCTTCATCTGCCTCGGGAGACACGCACTACACTCGCTCAACTTCGCTCCGGCTACTGCAGCTGGTTAAACTCCTACTTGAGTAGGCTGAATGAGGATGTGCCGAACGAATGTCCGGCATGCGGAGAGACCCCACATGACTCGAACCATCTCTTCGCATGCCCGGAAAACCCGACAACCCTAACGGCCATGTCCCTGTGGACAGATCCCACAGAAGCTGCACGCCTCCTAGGGTTGCCGTTAGTGGAACTTGACGACAACGACTGAGATACCAACCGATCTGGGCGGGGTTGTTGTAGCCGCTACAACAACAACAACAACAAATCCGGAAGAGTTGTGATGCATCAAGCGGGAGTGTTGAGCATGGGTTATGTATTTAAGTTAAAAAAATATGGTAGGCCCTGTGAACAATGGTAACTCTTGTACCACCTATATATGCCGAAAACCATACAAATGCCCGTGAGACAACTCCGGAGGATGCATCAAGCGGGATTGTTGAGCATGGGTTATGTATATAAGTTAGAAAATTGGGTAGGTGCCGTGGCCAATGGTAGCTCTTGTACCACCTCTGTATGCCGAAAGCCATATAGAGCTCCGTGAGACAACTCCGGAGGAGTTGTGATGCATCAAGCGGGATTGTTGAGCATCGGTTATGTATATAAATTAGAAAATTTGGTAGGTGCCGTGGCCAATGGCAGCTCTTGTACCACCTCTGTATGCTGAAAGCCATATAGAGCCCCGTGAGACAATTCCGGAAGAGTTGTGATGCATCAAGCGGGAGTGTTGAGCATGGGTTATGTATTTAAGTTAAAAAATTTGGTAGGCGCTGTGGTGAACAATGGTAACTCTTGTACCACATATGTATGCCGAAAGCCATACAAAGCCCCGTGAGACAACTCCGGAGGAGTTGTGATGCATCAAGCGGGATTATTGAGCATCGGTTATGTATATAAGTTAGAAAATAGGGTAGGTGCCGTGGCCAATGGTAGCTCTTGTACCACCTCTGTATGCTGAAAGTCATACAGAGCCCTGTGAAACAACTCCGGAAGAGTTGTTATGCATCAAGCGAGTTAGTTGAGCATGACTTGGGGTACCGGCAATTAACTACTTTAATAGGTTTTGTTCTGCGGCGGTTGCGAAGTGCCTAAAAAATGCATACTCAATGAAGAACGAGCGAATTATTTTTAAACACTAGTGCGTGTGTTTATTAGCTGCACTTGGATTTGGGCGGGAGTATAATACAAGTGCGTGTGTGTTTTTTTTTTTTTGGGATGACGCCCGTGAAGAGGGAACTCTCATGAGTACTACTATACCGGAATAGTAGTATGCACGACTTGCAGCCTCACAGCTACACCTGCGTACTAAAACCTCTCCACTAACCACTCTCCCCGCGGCACTGCCATTTAAGGTATTACCTCACGGGGCTGGTTGGCCA